GCGAGCTGATGGACAAGCCCCCACTCCTCAGCTTCGCCAGTCTGGCCCACCTGTGGGATGGGAGTGGGGTGAGCTCCCCCCCGGCACCCCCTCACCCCTCGCCCCTCACCACCCTGTACCTGTGCCTCCACCTGCCAGCGGGAGATGGAGGTTTTGCCATCATAGCCCGGGCGAAACTGCAGGGTGACGGAACGGGGTCCGATGTTGGAGATGCCCAGGTTGGTGGGGGCACCAGGGAGCTCTGTGGGGAGAGGGCAGGGTGGGTGGCACTGGCTGGGGGCCCCCCACAGCCTGCCAGTGTCCCCACACTGCCCCACTCACCTGGTGGCACCCCCGAGGAGATGGTGGAGGAGGAGACCTGGCCCTGGCCCTTGGAGGTCATGGCAGCCACCTCGATGGTGTAGGTGGTGAGGGCAGTGAGGCCAGTGACACGGTACTCCAGGGTGACATTGGGCAAGTAGTGGGTCACCCGTGTGTTGGTGCGGTTGTACTCCTCCCAGGAGATCCGGTAGCCTGAAACGTGCCCCGTGCCAGCACCCATCATCACCCCCCCACCCTGAGGAGCCGAGTGGGGCTGGGAGGAGATGTGGTGGGAAGGGACCAGGGGGAGATGTGCTGGGGGGAGAGATGCAGGAGTCAGGCACCCCCCAGTGCTCCCTTACCCGTCAGGATGCCATTCTTCTCCAGTGGCTCCTGCCAGCTGACCTTCAGGGATGTGTCCAGGATGTCACTGAAGCTGAGGTGTCCCACGGGGCCAGGCACTGCCCAAAGACACCCAGGCTCAGCACGCAGCCACCCACCCGAGGGTGGGAGCCCTCAGCACCCACAAGACCCCCACAAAGAGAGAGCACAGACGGGGGTCCCCACGGATGGAGCTTCCAAGGGCTCAGTTGCACCCCCATTCCACGTCCCCACCGGCAGCACCAGCGGGACCAAGTGCCCCATCCAGGGGCTGTTCCCACCCTCCCCGGTTGCCGCAGGTGGGTCCCCCCCGTACCGTCCTGGTGGGTGCGCACCAGCTGGGGGGGGCTGCGCGGGCCGTCCCCCGGGGTGGTGAAGCACAGCACCGAGGTGAAGTACTCAGCGAATTTCCTCAGCCCCGCCACGTAGCCCACGTGGACACTGTCCTGGAAGTTGGGTCGCACCGTCACCACCGTCGCCTCCTCCTCGTGCTCCGGCTCCCAGGCGATGAGCTGCGGGAAGAAGGAGCTGGGACAGCAGTGCCAGGTACCGGCGTCCCCACTGCATGTATCGGTACCACAAACTCCATCCTTCGGGCAGCTCCTTGTTTATTTGGAGTTGATTAGGTATCAATCAACGGGTGCTGGGAACACTTTGCTGCTGCCAGCGGTGCATGTTTACCCGTACGAGGCAACACGGAGCTCCCACTTTGTGATTAACTCCCATTGATAACAGCAAGTAATCACCCCCTCGCCTGCATTTGGGAGGGATGTTTGGGCATTTAACTGGTATTGTGCAAGATAGCCTATAGCAACTTAATTAAACACTAATTAGGCCCTAAAAATACTAATCAAAAATACTAAGTGGCATTTAATAAGAATGTTAAGTATCCTACTTGCTCTGGTTATCTCATTCAGCAGCAATTAAATTCCTGAACTTCTTTTGAGTGGATTAAGAAACAAGTTTAATGTTTTAATTCAATTTAATTAATGTAAAATTGAATTAATTGCATTTTGGAATTAATTACAGAGCATGGGAGACTATGAGCCCATGCAAGTGTTAAATCTTAATAAATAGTATTTTAACAGGCAGGCTGGAACCAACTAAAGAAGCCGAGGGAGGAGTCAGGGCAGTTTGGGAAGGTTGGACGAGGATTTTTCCCCAACAAGCTGCCCTGTTTTTGGGGAGAATCGCCCCTCACCTTGTACCCCTGGTTGATGCCGTTGATGAACTGGGGGCTGGGAGGGTCCCAGGTGAAGCGGATGGTGGTGGAGTTGGTGGCCTCAGCTTGCACGTTTCCCGGGGGCACGGTGGGGACTGCCAGGAGGAAGGGATGGCTCACAGTGGCTCTGGCTTCATGAGGTCCCCTCCATCAGGGGCAGGCACCAGCCCCCCAGGAGCATGGGCACCCGCAGCAGGGAGTACCCATGAGGGTGCCCTGAGATGTCACTGGCTGGTCCAGCTCTGCCCTGGCTATGCAGCCCCTGATCACCCCTCCCCAGTCGCCTTGGGGCCCCCCACACCCATCCTCCTGCCACCTGTCCCCACCAGTCCCCCCGCACAGCCTGTCACCTCTTGGGTCAACACCAAGCCCGTTCCTGTCCCCGCCTGACCCTGCCTACCTCCCTGCAGCGTCCACTCGGTCACCTTCATGCTGTACACCCCGAGGCCAGCACTGTTGTACGCTGCCACCTCGATCTCATAGTTGGTCCAGATGATGAGGTCCTCCAAGAGCAGGTTGTTGACCTCAGCGTTGGTGATGTTCTTGAACTGGTAGCCCACGGGCAGCCCGGCCAGGCAGTATCTGGGCACAAGGGACCAGCAGAGCTGTTGGTGTCTCCACCAGCACCCTGGGATGCTGAGGGGATGCTCGTGCTTCCCCTGCTGGCACCTACCGGATGATGTAGCCCTTGAGGACACCATTCTGGTGGCTCTCAGGGGGCGGCTGCCCCTGGAGCATGATGGACGGGTTGGTGCGTCCACTGGCAATGACATTTTGGGGGGGCGCGGAGGGGGGCTCTTCGGGCAGGGACACCCTGCAGGGAACGAGGCACGGGGTGAGCACCCAGGGCTGCCAACTCCTCCTGCCACCCCCCAGCCACACCTCACCTCTCCGTGTCCTTGCTGAACTGTCCCCTGCCCACGTCGTTCACGGCGCAGAGGCGGAACTGGTAGGAGCGAGCGGGGACCAAGCCCCGCACCGCCACCCAGCTCAGCTCGGGGTCCACGCTGGGCAGCAGCACGGTCCAGGGAGCGTCTGTGGGGGGAGAAGGGGATGGAGGACCTGACCTGCAGGACACCCAGGTCCCCTCTCTGGCTAACGAGTCCCGCGGTCCCCAGGCTCCTCCCAGCCCCCCGGGTGATGCCAGAGCCCAGGCTTTGCCCAATGGCAGCTGGGGAGGGGGGAGCAGCCCCTTAACTATTCTCGGAGACCTCCACGACGTAGCGGAGCAGGGGGCTGTTGCCATCGAAGGGCTTGGTCCAGGTCAGGTTGATGGCCCGTTTCTCCAGGGAGCTGAGGGTGGCCACTGGACTCTCGGGAGCATGGGGGAGCTGCCTGGACAGGGGGGTCAGGGAGAGGCAGGTTAGGGAGAGGGGCACAGCTCAGGGTACAGGGGGTGAGGTGGGGGTGAGTGGGGGTCTCACCGGACGCGGAGGTGGGCGCTGCGGGAGTCATTGCCCCCGGCCGAGACCACCTTGCAGGTGTAGGTGCCGATGTCACCAGACCAGGTCTGGGAGATGTGGAGGGTGCCCATCTCGTCCAGGCGCAACCGCGGGCTGCTCGCGGGGCTCAGCGGTGCCCCGTCCTTCTCCCAAATGTACCTGTGCAGGGGCAGGGAACCCAGGAGTGCTGGCACCCTGCAGCCCCCCACGGGGAGAGGGGACCGGGGGTCCCACCGGTGTGCCGGGCTCCCCGTGCACAAGGCACCAGGTGGCACTGCAGGACCACTAGCTTGGGGCTGGGGATGGTGGCACCCACCCATCTGCCTGCTCCCTCTTCAGGCAGCCTGGGGGGTGCCCGGACCCCACAACCCTCCCAGCACCATCGCACGGACCTGACGTCCACACTGGGGTCATGGGTGACCCCACAGCTCATGATGGCTTTGGTCCCCTTGATGACACTCTGGTCCTGCGGTGGGTTGGTGATGCGTGTCCTTGCTGCAGAGGGGACAGGATGAGCCACCAGCACCGCCCAGAGGCCTGGGGGGGGTGGCACCGGCAGGGGACAGCCCGGGGTTGCACCCACGCAAACCAATCAGCCACGCGCCAGAGGCCATCCTTCCTGTCCCCAGGGAGCTCCATCCTGCAGGCAGGATGCAGCAGCACGGGTTCCTTACCCCAGACAACCAGGTCTGCAGACGCCTCATCCACGCCCCGGGAGTTGGTGGCCAGGCAGGTGTAGGTGCCGGCGTCGGCGAGATGCGCGGGGCTGAGCAGCAGGCTGCCCGACTCCAGCAGCGTGAAGCGCGGGAGCTGCACCGACCCGCTGGCCAGGACCCGCTCCCCTGCGGGGCACAAGGACCTTCTTCAGCTCCCAGTGCCCTGGCCAAGGCCAAGCCTGGTGGCCACAGAGCCCGGTGGCCCGCGGAGGTGGCCCTGGGGCCACACAGGCAGGGATGGGCAGGGCAGTCTTGCCCACATCCCAGTGCCCCCAGTCTGTTTTATAGGATTACAGAATCATTCTGACTGGAAAGATCATCAAGTCCAACCATAACCCAACTCTACCAACCATTAATCCAACTCTACCAAGTCCAGTGCTTAAACCATGTCTCTCAGCACCACATCTACACAACTTTCAAACACCTCCAGGGGTGGTGATTCAACCACCTCCACAGGCAGCCTGTGCCAGTGTTTAATAACCCTTCCAGTGAAGAAGTTCCATCTAACCTAAACCTCCCCTGGTGCAACTTGAGCCTATTTCCTCTTTTCCTGTTGCTTATTCCCAGGGAGAAGAAACCAAACCCTCCCCTTGCTCCAACCTCCTCTCAGGGAGTTGCAGAGAGTGAGGTCTGCCCTCAGCCCCCTTTTCTCCAGGCTGAACACCCCCAGTTCCTTCAGCTCCTCCCTGTGAGCCTCCCTCTCCAGCCCTTCCTCTCCCTTTACCTTTCTGCCAGGTGATGGCGGGGCGCGGGGCCCCCGAGGTCTCGCAGTTGAGGATCACGGACATGCCATCAATCACTGCGCTGTCCTGCGGACCCCGGGTGATGTTGGGGGCAATGCCTGCGGGGTGGACAGACACACAGCCACCCCTGAAGCCCTTCCCAGGGCCCAGCCTGAAGCTGACCCATGCCAGGGGGACTCCCATCTCCATGGGAGGTTTTCCTGGGGTCCCCAAGCCTCTGCATGGAGCCCAGCTTGGGAGGAGCCCAGGTACATCCCACCCACTGCCCACGCAGGGCACCCAGGGGTTGGGGTATGAGGGGGGCTGGCACCTACTGGTCACAGCCAGGTACGTGGTGGTCTGCACCTCGCCGGCCGCGTTGCGGGCGAAGCACTGGAACATGCCAGTGTCATCAGGGACCAGCCTGCTGATCTGCAGGCTGCCATCAGGCAGGAGCTGGAAGCGGGACAGCTTCTCCAGGGGGATGAGAGCAGCGTCCTTGTACCAGGCCATCTCAGGAGCAGGCACACCTGCAAGGGCCAGGTCAGGGACAGGGCTGTGGTGGCAGAGGGAAGGCGGCTGGGGAGATGCTCACCCTTGGCTTGGCAGGGGATGGCCACCACCTTCTCCATCTCGGCCGTGATGTGCCTCTCCGGCTCCCTGACGAACTGCGGCGGCTCTGCAGAGGGAAGCCCAGCAGCGGGCAGTAGAGCCGGGGGGTCCTCCAGCCCCACCGTTCAAACCACCTTCAGCTGAGACCACCCCAACTCATTGCAGGCGTGGCTTGTGCTGCCTCACCCAGGACGGAGAGGAAGGCGCCCTGTGCCACGGCGGGCACGCTGCTGCTGCGGAGCGCGGCCTCGCACTGGTAGTAGCCGCTGTCGCTCAGCGCCGGGTGCAGGATGGTGAGGCGGCGGCTGTAGTCGCTGATACCGCTGGAGAGGGGCACCCCGTCCTTCCTCCAGGTGATGTGCAGCTTCATCAGCGGCCTGGGGTGGGGCAGGAGCATGTCAAGAGCCAGCCCACCCGGAACCCGCCAAATCCCCACCTCCCTCCATCCTGCAGAACATCCTCCATCCATCCCAGGGGCGGGCCCTGCTGGGAAGGGACCTGGGGGTACCCAGTGCTGGGGCTGGGCAATGCCAGCAAGGACATATCCAATCCCATCTGCCCCATCACTACTCACCTGGCATTGGCCACGCACTCCATGGTCACCTCCGAGGTCCCAGCCACCACGCTGGTGTTCCTGGGTGGGACAATGATGGTGGGTGCGATGGGATCAGCCGGGCCACCCACATCTGGGGAGAAGGAGGCCAGAGAGACAGCCATCAGCACCCTATGCTCACCCTCATGGCACCCCAGAGGTGCTGATGGGGCACCCAAAGCTCCTGCTCTGCATGGCATGCAGGTGACAAAGGTGGCAGGGACAAAAGGGCCATGGGCTCTGCTCTCCCTTGGGAAGGTCCAGCCTATCACCTTGGCATTTGGGTGCCTTCACAGCTCTCCCTGAGCCTTCTCCTCCCACAGGAGCCCATGGCACCAGCCTGTCCCGCAGGCAGTGCTGGCTGGCAGGGAGGAGGGAGAAGGGGAGTATATAAAGGGAAATGATTGCAACAATAAAAAACCCCCGTGTAGGCGCTGAGAAAACGCGATCAGCTTGAAAGCTGCTGATAGAGCTGAATCCATAAACATGGGCTCCAGGTTGTTTATTGTGCATCAGGGCACGGAAAAACAGATTAATGGGGCAGGAGGGAAAGGGTGACAGGCAAAGCCCTCCATGGAAAGGGATACACCCCCTCCTGGAGAGCAGGAGGGGAGATGGGATGTAGACGTGGGGAGGACTGATGCCTTTTTGGGGGCTGTGACCAACACGGGCCGGGGGACCCTCAGCCAGGTCCTGCAGTGTCCAAGAGGACAGGAGGGATGGGGCTACAGGGGTGTCCCCCAGGCAGTGGCTGATCAAGTGGGGAGCAAGAGAAGGAGTGGGGCAAAGGGCCCCACTGCAAAGCTCCTCCTCTTGGCCAGATCCAGCCCCAGAGGCAGGGATGGAGCAGGAGGCTCTGCCCAGGGCAGGATCAGTGTCTGCAGCCCAGCCCCAAGTGCCTAAATAAATTTTGAGGCAGCTGAACTGCTGAGTCAGCAGAAGCCGGAGCCTCCGAAGAGATTTACTGCAAATTAAACTTGGGGGGGAGCCAGGCAGTGCAGGGGGAGAGGGGCCGGGGGGGGCAGAGCCCCTGCACTCACTGGCCACCGTCAGCGTGATGGGCTGGCTCGTCTTGTTGTCCCCGTTCTTGTCATTCACCGCCTGCACGTAGTAACGTCCCGCGTCCGGAGCCACCGTGGAGAGGATGACCAGGGTGTTCTCCAGCGTGATGGCTCTGCAGGGATCACAGAATCTTAGGGGTTGGAAGGGACCTCGAAAGATCCCCCAGCCCAACCCCCCTGCCAGAGCAGGGGCACCCAGAGCACATCACACAGGATCCAGGGGGGTTGGAATGTCTCCAGAGGAGACTCCACAGCCTCTCTGGGCAGCCTGGCCCAGGGCTCTGTCACCCTCACAGGAAAGAAGTTTTTTTCTGATATTCACATGGAACCTCCTGTGTTCCAGTTTGCACCCACTGCCCCTTGTTCTATCACTGGTCATCACTGCACAAAACCTGGCTCTGGCCTCCTGACACTGCCCTGAACAGATTTGTAAACATTGCTGAGGTCCCCCCTCAGCCTCCTCCTCTCCAAGACCAGCAGGAGATGGGGATGCAAACCCAACAGGGATACCCATATGAGGAACCAGGACCATTTTTGCCCCCCACCCAGCACCCACACAGACACACACAACCCCCAGCCTTCCTCCTGCCTGCCCCATGCTCCAGCTCCCAGACACGGACTCAGCTTGGCCACTGTCCCCAGGCAGCAGCCAGGACTGAGCCCCCACCCCCAGCACCAAGCAGAGCACATTGGACGGTGCAGATTAACAGGACTTTTTAATTTTTTACTATTTTTTTTAAATACAAAACGATCTAATCTGCTGGAAACATTAAACGGCTTGGGGAATCTATTTTTTACCATTAAACGTGAGATAAAGGAGCTTTATCTCTTCAGTCCTGCTTTGCAAATAAAAAAGGGGACCAGTTCAATTCCTGCATAATGTGGGTTACGAATCCAATTCCCGCACGCCCGGGGACGCTCAGAGCACCCCGGGGGGCAGTGCCCGCCCCCCGCACGTCCTGAGCCCCTTTTCCCTGCTTCCCTCCCCCTTTATTTTTTAAAAACCCGTTTCCCTGGTGAGAAACGGAGCCATTAAGTCACCCAGCCCGTCTCCGGGTTGCAGCACGGTGTGCTCAAGGCGTCTCTTCAACATCCTTATTGCAGGGGCACCAGCAGCCCCCCTGGATGCTGAGGGATGGGGGGCTGGGGGGAGGCTGGGGGTACTCACATGCTGCTGCTGGGGGAGATCTTCCTGCCATCCCGAAACCAGGTGACCTGGGGCTGGGGGAAGCTGGCGATGCGGGGGGCGCGGATGACGGCCGCCTCCCCGTGGGACACGCTCTGCTGCGTCTCGCTGTCCTCGAAGCTCCCCATGTCTGCAAATCGTGCAGGAGAGCCCTGGCAGGGGCTGGGGCAGGGCTGGCAATGCGCCCTGGGGAGCCAGCAGGGGCCGCCGGGCTGGAGACAGTGAGGATGGGCTCTCCCAGGGGATGCGGAGGGGCTGCCTTGGGGGTCTGCTCCCCTCCTCAGCTGGCACAGGGATGGGGGTGCAGGATTTCATCCACACCAGGATCCATCCCATCACCTGCACACCAGACCGGGGACCCCTGCCCGTGTCGCCCCACCAAGGTTGGGGTGCAGCCGCAGCAGGAGGGCTCAGCCCCCCAGCATCTGTCCCTGTCCCAGTGCCAGGAACATCCCAGCATGACCTTGGCTCTGTGGGCAAGGTTGGGGCACCCACTGCCTCCTTCCTGCCCAGCAGCTTCCAGGCTGGAAGTATGCACCAGTTGAGGCAAGCCAAGGGAAGCAGGGTGCATGGAGAAGGGGGGCAGGGGCTTTTTATTGTCTTCCCTTAATTGCTGTAATTAAAAGCATGTAAAGAATCTTTTTTTAACGACTTTGCCATTATCATTAGTTGTGAGCGCAGCTGCCTTATTAATTTCTCATTAACTTCCTGATTTGTCACTGCTCCTCAGGAAGGGGTTTAAGGGGATGGGGTAGGGGGGCATCCAGGAGGGAAGGGGTGACAGAGAGGGACAAGTCCCCTGGAGCACAGAGCAAGCATCTCGGGCCTCAGCACCCTCCTGTCCAGCTTAAACTGCCCATGGTGGCTCTGCATCACCCCTACACAGCTGGGGAGGAGCAGAGCTGCTCCCACACTGCCAAACATTTCACCCCTCTGGGAAGCCTTCCCCAACACAGGGCTGCAGGTTTCCCTGCCCATGGGGTGCCCCCTCTGCACCCCCAACCACCACATCCCAACCAGGCAGCGGGAGCAGCAGAGGCAGCAACGCCCACATCCTGCCAGCGCCACGCCGGGGATGCTCCAGACGTGGGTGCGCTGGACATGGGCCACACAGAGCACCCCAGCCCTGCACCGAGCACCCCAGCCATTCCACAGCACCCCCGGGTTGTCCTTCGCCAGGGCTGTCACTTACAGGCCACCTGCACCTCGGTCTGGCGCTGCAGCAGCGCTCCCATCCGGTTCCGGACGATGCAGCGGTAAAAGCCGGCGTGTGTGCGGTCCAGAGAGGTGATCATGTACCTGCGGGAGAGAGGAGCCACCTCAGGGAGGGGGGGGACACACCCAAGTGACCCTCACAGTTCCCAGGAGAGGCTGCAGGTCCTACACAAGCTCCTCACTGCTGGGCAGCCAACCCTGTCCTGGCAGCAGCACCTTCCCTAGGGAGCAGCTGCTGGAAGAGGGGGGGGATGTGCAGGTGTGTGCGTGTCTGTGCAGGCAGGTAGGTGTGCACACACACGAGTGTGAAGGAGACAACAGAGTGTACCCCAGCGCTGCAGAGGAACTTGTTGGCCGCACATGCACGGCACGAGCTGGCGGCTGCCACCAGACCGCTCGGTGCTGGGGTGGACAGTGAA